ATGTCTCTGGGCTATCTAGCCTCTGGTTCCTGGCCCTCCAGGCAGTGCCAGGGTTGGGCTCTCTCTCATGGCGTGGGTCTCAAGCTGGACTAGTCACTGGTTGGCCTCTCCCCCAATTTCTACACCACTTTTACCACAGCACATTTTATAGGCAGGACAAACCTACAAATTTTAGGTTGAAAGTTTTAAAGCTGCATTAGTGTTCTAATCCCTGTAATGGAAGTCTTGCCTGGTTACAGGAGATGGTTGGTTCACCTGTTCCTCCCCCTCCCCCCCCCCCACACTAGGGTTACCCTCAGAGATTCCTGGGACTTCTTATTGCACTAGATTTCTACTCATCTCTGAGATTCTTCCTACCTAGCCAATTCCAGTTGTCTTCTCTCCAGTACTCTCTTCCTACATCTTCTCCTGCCTGCCCCAGTCCACCTGTAGTATCTGTTCTATTTCCTCTACCCAGGAAGAGGTTCAGCATACAAAAATCTGTCAGTGTAATCCACCATATAAACAAACTGAAAGAATAAAACCATATGATCATCTCGTTAGATTCTGAAAAGGCCTTTGATAAAATTCAACACCTTTTTATGATAAGTCTTGAGAGATCAGGGATACAAGGGACATACCTAAAGATAGTAAAGGCAATATATAGCAAGTCAGTAGCCAACATCAAATTAAATGGAGAGAAACTCAAACTAGTTTCACTAAAATCCAGAACAAGATATAGGCTTGTTACCTAGTAGGTGTTGAAATTTTCAAATTCAATTTTTATGTTCATTCACAAATTATTTTACAAATTATAACCCCCAGTATAAAGTTAGAATATATAGTACATGTGAGCTGCTAGCATTTCAGTGTACTTCATTGATTTTCATGAAAAGAGACATCTATATATGAAGAGTCATTATAGTATAGCAAACTGTCCAGCCTGATGGCACACACCATTAATCCCCGTTACTTGAGGGTGAGGTAGGATGAACACAAGTTCAGAGGTGGCTGGAGCTATAGAACTTAAGGTCTGCCAGAACAACTTGTGAGATGCTGTTGCAAAATAAAAGAAATAAAAGAACAGAAGAGAGACAGATGGAGTTCAGTGTTGCATTAGTTACTTTACATTTGCTGTAGTAAAACACCATGATCAAGGCAATTTATGGAAGGAAAAGTTTATGTTAGCTTATAGTTCCAAAGGGATAAGAAAGAGTCCAGCATGGAAGGGAGGCATCACAGCTTGATTAGGAAAGTGATCACTCACATCTGTAACAGCAAGCAGGAAGCAGAGAATGGACAAGAAGTGGGGCAAGACTATAAACAAAGTGTGCCTGCAATGACTTACTGCAGTAATGCTGCCTCTCGGTGTTTCCACAACCCATCCTAATAGTGCCACCAGGAGACCCAAGTATTCAATACATGAACCTGAGGGAGTCAGGTGAGGGCATTTCTCTTTCAAATCACTGCAGTGGTAGAGTGCTTGCCTAGCATGTAGGATGCCAGAGGCTCAGTTCCCATAATAATAAACAAACACTAACAAGCAAATAGATAAAATACTTGTATATATCATGGTAGGAACAATTCTCACCGGAGGATTAATTTTAGAAAAGTCACTCAAGGTTTATTTATTTATTTTTCATTTATTACAATTTATTCACTTTGTATCCTAGCTGTAGCCCTGTCCCTCATCTCCTCCCAGTTCCATTCTCCCTCCATCTTCTCCCCCTACAGGCCCCTCCCCTAGTCCACTGATAGGGGAAGTCCTCCTCCTCTTCTATCTGACCCTAGTCTATCAAGTCTCATCAGGACTAGCTGCATTGTCTTCCTCTGTAGCCAGGTAGGGCTGCACCCCACATGGGGAGGTGATCAGAGAGCCTGCCCCTGAGTTCATGCCAAAGAAAGTCCCCGCTCCCCTTACTAGGGGCCCCAGTTGGAGACTGAGCCTATGGGCTACATCGGTGCAGGTCCTCTCCATGCATGGTCCATGGTTTGAGTATCAGTCTCTGCAGGACCCCCTGGGCCCAGGTTTTTTGGCTCTGTTGGTCTACTTGTGGAGCTCCTGTCCCCTTCAGGTCTTTCTGTCTCCCACTCTGCCCAAGTTTGGTTGAGTCTCAGCATCTGCTTCTATATCCTGCTGGGTAGATTGTTTCAGAGGCCTTCTGTGGTAGGTTCCTGCCCTGTTCCCTGTCTTCTCCTGCTTCCGATGTCTATACTGTTTGCCCTTCTGAATGAGGATTAAGCATCTTTCCTAGGGTCCTCCTTGTTGTTTAGCTGCTTTAGGACAATAGATTTTAGTATGTTTATCCTCTATTATATGGCTAATATCCATCATAAGTGAGTATATACCATGTGTGTCTTTCTGCTTCTGGATCACCTCACTCAGGATGATCTTTTCTATTCCCATCCATTTGCCTGCAAATTTCATGATTTCCTTACACCCATCAGAATGGCTAAGATCAAAAACTCTAGAATGCTCTAGAATTTGTGGAGAACAGGGAACCCTCCTCCATTCCTGGTGGGAATGTAAACTTGTACAACCACTTTGGAAATCAATCTAGTGCTCCCTCAGAACATTAGGAATAGCGCTTCTTCAAGATCTAGCTATACCACTCCTGGGCATATATCAGATAGATGCTCAACCATACAACAAGGACATTTGCTCAACTATGTTCATAGCAGCTTTATTCGTAATACCCAGAATCTGGAAACAACCTAGATGTCCCTCAGCCAAAGAATTGATACAGAAATTGTGGTACATTTACACAGTGGAATATTACTCAGCAATTAAAAACAAGGAAGTCAATATTTATAGTTTGTTTTTTTTTTTTTTTTTTTTTTTGAGAAAGGGTTTCTCTGTGCAGCCTTGGCTGTACTGGAACTCACTCTTGACTAGGCTGGCCTCGAACTTATAGAGATCCACTTGCCTCTGCATCCCAAGTGCTGGAATTAAAGGTGTTTACCACCATTGCCCAACTTACAGGTTTTCATGGTGAAATATTTCTATTTCTAAATAGAAAAATATTTACAACACCCGAAAGTATCAAGGATGCTTAGGACTAGAAGGTGTTTTCAGATTTTTTCATTCTTTGGGAAGTATTTGCATATGCATAGTGGAGCATAGTGGAATAGGAGCTAAATGTACTAACAAGTTATTTATAGTTAATTTACACCTTATACACATAGGTGGTGGATGATTTTATACTTTTTTTTGTATAGTTAGTTCATTTATGACCTGTCACTTAGATGAGTTTTTCACTTCTGCCCTCATCAGCTCTCATAAGTTTTGTATTTTAGAGCAGTTGGGATTCAGACTTTTCATCGATGTTTAACCTGATATGTAAAGTGTGATTAAAGTAATAGTACTCATCACTGCTCTTAGCAAATGTTCAAATAAGTAGTGGCTGTGGCTAATTATAATGCTAATGAGTGAAAACGTTTAAAATTACATTGAAATCATGATTTCTGTGAGTAAAATTTAAGATTCCTATTGACAGACCAGGAAGAAATTGCTAACAATATAAAGGAACATCTTTTTTAGAGTGGTTAGTAATTAACAATAATTTATTTGAATGAGTTTTCTTTGTTTGAAGCTACATTTGAGCTATAACAATGAAAAGATGATCAACGAGCAGGCCAATCAGATTATGTCAGAGGCAGTCCCTCTTCCCATTACTATGTAACCCACTTGGACTCTGAACTGCCATGGGCTACACCTGTGCAGGGGTTCCAGGTCATCTCCACGAATAGTCCTTGGTTGGAGTATGAGTCTCTGGGAAGACTCCTGTGTTCAAATTATCTTGTTCTGTTGCTCTCCTTGTGGAGTTCCCGTCCCCTCCAGCTGTTACTATTTCCCACTTCTTACATAGAATTCCATTCACTCTGCCCATCAGTTGGCCATCAGGCTCAGCATCTGCTTTGACAGTCTATACTGCAGAAGCTTTCAGAGGCCCTCTGTGGCAGGTTTCAAGGTTGTTTCCTGTTTTCTTCTGGCTTTCAGAGGCCCTCTGTAGCAGGTTCCGAGGTTGTTTCCTATTTTCTTTTTCTTCTGATGTCCATCCTCTTTGCCTTTCAGGATGGGGATTGAACATTTTAGTTAGGGTCCTCTCTTTTGCTTAGTTTGTTTAGATGTACAGATTTTAGTGGGTTTATTCTATATTGTATGTTTATATGAGTGAGTATATACCATGCGTGTCTTTTTGCTTCTGGGACAACTCACTCAGGATGATCCTTTCCAAGTCCCACCATTTACCTGCAAATTTCATGATTTCCTTATTTTTCATTGCTGAGTAATACTCCATTGTATAGATGTACCACAGTTTCTGCATCCATTCTTCAGTTGAGGGGCATCTGGGTTGTTTCCAGCTTCTGGCTATTACAAATAAAGCTGCTACAAACATGGTTGAGCAAATGTTTTTTTTGTGAGGGGGGAGCAGCCTTATCAGGCCACAGTAGAGGACAATGCAGCCACTTTTGATGAGAACTGATAGACTAAGATCAGAAAGAAGAGGAGAACCTCCCCTATCAGTGGACTTGGGGAGTGGCATGCATGCAGAAAGGGGAGGGAGGGTGGGATCGGGAGGGGAGGATCGAGGGGCTAATGGGGGGATACAAAATGAATAAAGTGTAATTAATAAAAAATTAAAAAAAAGAAATAGGGGTTCTGAATAAAAAAGGAGAATATAAAGATTTATTTAAAAAAAAAACTAACTAATATTAAAAAAATAAAAATGTAAAAATAAAAAAAAAAACAATGAAAAGATGGCAGTTTGCCATCAGGAAGCATAAGTTGGAATTCTAGTTTCACTGTTTTGAGACTTACCAAATGATTTAAATTGTATTCAAGATGAAGAGTTGAGAGTATGGCTCAAAAGTTTTGCCTAGCATGTTTCCACCCAAGGGTTTGAATATTGAAGTTCCAATAGACTACTACATATGAAGAGTATAGACGCTTAAGAGGAAACACAAGTATTACGGAGACATCTGATTTCCATTTTACCTGTATTTTGTTTTAAAAACAGACCTCAGAGAACAAAGATGAGATTCTGGGCCAAAGGGAAACAAGGAGAGAAGAAGACTACTAGAGTAAAACCTGCTACCCAGTCGGAAGTCTCATCACTCTTCGCTGGCTCAGATGTGACACCGGCTCATCCATTTTCTGATGGTAAAAATGGACAAAGGGTGGAGCTTCATAATTTGTTACTCATTCTGAAGTGTACTGTGCTTTCTTCAGAATGACACTCCTCTTGGAGTGATGTTTTACTGATAGGACTAGTGTTGGTAAGTGCCTCCTTTCTTAGTAAAGCAAGGGATATTCTCTGCTTCTGTGAGATGCTCCAAGAATGTCACATACAACAGTGAAGCACAACCACTCGGTGATGATGAATCTTGGGCTAGCCTTTGTTTTCTAAATTGTAAAGGTTTACCCTTGATATATGTACTTTATAATATTCATAGTAATTCATAGCATTATCTCATTATTGAGTGCTAACATGTTATATATATTAAAACTATTGATTCTAAGAACAGTTTTTCTGATATTGCTGTGATTATTATTCGTGGTTTATAGGTAATAGCACCAAAGGATAAGAAGTTATCTATTTACACATATTGAAATGAGAAGACCTAAGATTTGGATTTGAGTTCAGGCATTCAAACTCCAGAGTTGACATTTTTTTTTGTTGTTGTTGTTGTTTTGTTTTTTGTTTTTCTTGTATTTTATTTGTCTGTTTTAAGATAAGGTCTTTCTGTGTAGCTTTGGCTGTCTTGGAACTGTGTAGAACTTTGTATTTTTAAAACTTTTTGTTGATTCTTTGTTAGTTTTATAATCATGCACCATAGTCCCACTCATCTCCCCATCCCCATCTTGTATGCCCTTTTCTCTTTCAACCTTCCCCTCAAAAGAACAAAAAAACACCAAAAAAACAACAACACACAAACTAAAACAAAACAAAGTATAGAAAACATGTCATTGTAGAAGCTGTGGTATGTCCCAGTATGTCCCACAGTAGATCCCTCTGTCTGCGCGTCTTCATTTGCAAATGTTTATTGCGATAAGTCATTGGTCTGGTTCATGGTCAAAGACCATGTGACACCATCAGTATTGGGTCATCACCAGGACTTCTGGTTATCCCATTGTTGCTCTGTGTCATGGACATCCTGCAGTTTTGGATCAGTAGGACTGGCCCTTTCATGTGTCCCAACCGTTTACAAATGATTGATAGAGATTTTGGGGTGGCCAACTCAGAGACGTGGATCTTGGTGGTAGCTGAGCTGGTCAGCACACTGCTTCTCCCTTATCCACACCACAAGGGTAAGCTTTCCAGCACTGCTCTGGCCATGCTGCCCTCTGCTGCCATCTGCAGGAGGTAGGGTCAGCTTTCTTGCTCTCATGCCCTCAGGTACTTGCTCAGCTGCATCTACACCTCCAGAGTCAGCTCCACAGTGCAGCCCAGTCAAGATGTGGGGCCACTCTCCCAAGTGCTGCCGCCTCTGAGGGGCTTGGCCAACTTTCCTGCTCTCTTTTTTTAAAAAGGAAGAATTTATTTTGATCTATAATTTGAGGGAAACTGAAGCATGACAGCATGAATATGAGTCTGCATTCAGGAAGCAAAGAGAAGAATGCTGGTGTTCAGTTCCCTATTAATGCAGTCTGTGACCCTAACCCATAGAATGGTACTACCTACATTTAATGGTGGTCTTCCTGCTCAGCCTAATCTCAATAATCCCAGAAATTGTCTCCAAAGTGATCTTAGATCCTGTCAAGTTGACATATCAACTGTCACATCTACTATACACTAATGCTTACAATTTCATAATGTAGCTATTCTTTTGACTTTTAGGATATAGATGTAACACATGTGAAAGTACCCAAGAGGAGCAATTAGCACTTGAAAGAATGGTAGAGATGGAATTAACCTCTCATTTTGTATCTTGTAGCTCTGTTCCTGTCAACTTACCGTCTGATATAGATGAAAATAATAGTAAATTCAGTGGTTATCTAACCCGAATCTAACTTTTAAATTATATTTACATTAGAAAAACTTCTAATTTTCCCCATTGCATTACTCAAATGTTCATTTTCTTAATACATTATCTAATTGACAATCTTCATTCTAAATCTTATCCTTTTCAGTAATTATATTCTAATATAATTTCCAAAAAAGAGTGGTAAGGCTCATTAGTTGAAAATATACATTATAAGCAGATGTCATTATATAAGGGACATTTATGAAAATTAGGATTATGGACTTTATTTTTGTTTGGAAAAAATTAATAAGGTAGCCTTTGTTTTTAATGCTAAACTGAGATAATTTACACGATATGATTACTTCATTCTAAAAAGGATACTAACTTTGCAAAATAATTATTTAGTTAGTTAAAATGGAGTCAGTTTATATCAGTTTTTATATAGCTTTATTTTGGTGTCATGTCCCAATTGAGATTGAGTTTGTCCCAATTCCTGCCTGAAGCGACATTTATTATAGAAGGAATTGCTTTTTGTTTGGTTTATTATCAGGGTAAGCATTTAGATGGAATTAGGATAAGCCATTGTTGAGAAGTTAAGGAACATACATGTTGAGGAAGCGAGCACATGTGAAATGAGAAGAGGCCAACATTCTCCTTAGGTTTCGGATAGGGCTTTGCAAGTCTAATCTAGTTGTGGTTCCAAATTGTAATGGTCAGCATAGAATTTTATTCCCTAGTGTGAAAAAAATAGGAAAACGTGGTACTTTTCTCTGTAATATATACTGCCAGTTTGCTCCACAGATCCTGTGAGAGTTTAGACAGCTATAGGGGGTGTGTAGAAGAAAACCCTCAATAAGATACTAGAGCAGAAGCAAGCCAGGTGAGCTACTTGACTTCCTAACAAGGTATTAACTATCAGCAGGCAGTGTCGCTGTTGTGGTCATGGTTGTAGACTACAGTAAAAACTGTAATTATCAAATTCTCCTTTTGGTTAGTTAGATATAATAACTGGATGTTCCTTCAGACAAGTACAGCACAGTTACAGCTGGATGGACAGTATTTAATATGCTAGTTTGTAGCTTACTCCTCCCCATCTTTGGGACTAAGGTTTTTACAGTAAGGATAGAGATTTTCAATATTTTTACTAAGCCTATGTTTTTACTTACCCTTGTTTTGAATTGTAGAATTAACTCAGTACCACCCAACACCTCCTTTGAGCCCAGAACTGCCTGGGAGTTGCCGAAAAGAATTCAAAGAGAATAAGGAGCCTTCTCCAAAGGCAAAGCGCAAGAGGGGTGTGAAAATCAGCAGTGTGGCCTCAGATTCTACGCATTGGCAAAATGACTCTGTTCAAATCATAGCAAGTGCCAATGATTTAAAAAGTATGGATGAATTTCTTCTGAAAAAGGTATGCTTTGCTTGCTGAGTTAGCCTCTGAGAAGATTTGACTAAAGAATACTTGTATACACAGGGTATGCTATATGCTATATAACATATGCTATATGTTATAATAAGACAGGTTAAAACTTCAGTCACACAAGCAGTGGATTTGTTATCAAAAGGTCAGATAATAGGGCATGCGCAATCAGACAGGATTTAAAGTTTTAGTCTCGTCTATGATTTCACAGTTGTCGTATATGAAGGTGAGGCTTGTAGATTTGTAGCTGTTCTGTTGACAGAACTGTAAAATCAAAATGTCAGAAGGGAACTTAGATATGATGCAGTGTATTGTCCTTTTCCTAGGTCCTGTAACATCCAGTGGCTTGTACGTTTAGAATATCACTGCTTGAGAGACATTTCAACCATTGCATTTGTATCTTTTTGATGAATTAATTGTGTATAACAACTTTTTCTGTGGCTGGTCCTTAGATGAATGACCTAGATAATGAAGACAGCAAGAAGGATACATTAGTGGATGTTGTATTTAAAAAAGCCCTGAAAGAATTTCGGCAGAATATCTTCAGCTCTTACTCATCTGCATTGGCGGTAAGCTAAGGCCATGTCAGGAGATATTCACAACTCAGCTTGGCTTTGTAATTTTAATAATCTGTAAAGCCGGACTCAAGGGAGCCGTTCTTAGGGCTTGTTTAATTATTATAGGACTTCAACTGTTATGTTTTTACTAGTACTTAGTAGATCTATCCTGCCTATATTTTATGCTATCGTGGGACTTGGTGAATGCTAGATAACTACTTGAGCTGGCTCATTATAAACTATATGAAGAGCTAACCTATATTTTACCAGTAGAAGCTGAATCAGTATGTAAAGAATGTCTCCATAAAAGTTAACTTTTTTTTTTTTTCCTTCTCATTAGATGGATGATGGGAAAAGCATACGCTATAAAGACCTGTACGCATTGTTTGAACAGATTCTGGAAAAGACTATGAGGCTTGAGCAACGTGATTGGAATGAATCTCCAGTGAGAGTTTGGGTTAACACTTTCAAGGTGTTTTTAGATGAATACATGAATGAATTCAAGACTTTGGATAGCACAGCCTCAAAGGTAAATGAATTACTTTGATTTCCAGAAGTAGTAAATTATGAATTTTTTTAAAGGAATCTGTTTAGGAAACATTTTTTTTAAAAATTAGTACCAGTGTATATTATTTCTATAAAATGATAGGTTTTATTATGATTTTCCTACATCTATACAATGCAATTATGATTATGCTGTTCATGGCAGCACATGCCAGTAGTCAAATACTGAAGAGGATGAAGCAGGAGGGTCATAGTTCAACACTAGCTTAGATTATAACTGACTGTAAAGCTGCATTTCAGCAAAATATGACAGAGAACATTCCAATTTACCATTGCTTTAGATCCTCCAAACTCTGTTCTAATAATTTTGCCATATATTTTTTTTCTGAACTTGCTTCACTGAACATATCCTTCACAATTAAAACATAATAGTGTGTCCACAATATTATATTTTTAGCTTTAATGAAAATTAATATATGAATTGACTTCTGAACAAAAATGGTTAAAGGTGAAATGAATTATGTATCACTTAGCTTCCACCTAAGAACCTACAAGTTAGATCTCTCTTGAATCTGTTTTTCGGAAAAAATGTGTTTTGTGGGAAATCTAAATATCAGAAATATTAACTGTCACTTTTCAGTCCTGTTAAGAGTTGGAATCCCTAGTAAGGGGGACAGGAGTTATTTCTGTCTTGAACTCATGAGCTTCCCCTCCCTGCTGAGGGAGGAGCAGCCTTGCTAGGCCACAGATAAGGACATTGCAACCATCCTGAAGAAACCTGATAAGCTAGGACCAGACGGAAGGAGAGGAGGACATGGCCCTCTCAGTGGATTCTGAAGGGGGCAGGGAGGAGATGAGGGAGGGAGGGGAGGATTAGGAGGGAAAGAGGAAGAGGGCTACAGCTGGGATACAAGTGAATGTATAAAATTATTTAAAAATAAAAAAATATTAAAAAAAAGTCCAAGGGAAGAAAAAAGTAATAAAATTATATTATAGAGAAAAAAAAAGACTTGGAATCTGACTGCTTGATATTTTAATTAAATCGTGGTTTAGAGCTAATATTTTATAATCTGTATTACAAAAGAGATAGTCGGGTAGGAGTTAGGAAAGTAGATCACTTGCTAGAGTACCTGCCAAATAACCACAAAGCCCAGATCTGAGCTCCAGTACCATATAAAACAAGGTGTGGAGGTCCACATTTCTAATCCCAGCTCTCTGGAAGCAGAACAGTTCAGGGTCATCCTTGGCTACACAGTGAGCTTAAGGCCAGCCTGGAAAACACCATATATTTTTCAGTTGGTTGTAGTGGCACTGTCAGTCTAGAGACTTAAAATAGGAGGATAGAGTGGTCAAAGACAGCCTGTTTTTATATAGAGAAAATCTAACTAAAAAAAAATTAACAGAAATACTTGTGTGTGTTTTAAAGAAAGAGATAGCTGTCTAAACAAGATTATCAGTGTATTTTCATTACAACAGATGTAACAGTTATTTATATATTGATTGTGCTTTGTTTTATTTTTACTTATTCTAGCTTATGAATTAAAATTTTAAATCGTTTTAAAGTAAACAAGTTGTAGAAATTCTTGTGTTGTGGAAATCAGGCTTGTATGTTCTGCAGAAGCTTCTTAGGTCTTGGTTGCTCTTCCTTGAAAGGGCAGGTTTACACTGTGTGTCCTGTGGTCATCAGGAGATGTCATCGTGTCAGCCTTCCCACGCTCTGCATGCCCCTTTATGTTACCTGTCTCACATAGCAAGCCTTTGTCGTTGACCACCTGACCAGTGATTCAAATGGCTACGAATGATGTGCCATTAGAATGAACTGACATTTAAAAAGAGATCAGTCTCCTTTTGAAAAGATCCTTCATTCTTCTGGTTCTGTTAGCACTTCATTTTATCAGACTTAAATATTTTGTCAAATTTACTTCAGCTCTGTACAATTCCTCTTGAAGAATAAAGAGTTTTTATTATCTCTTGAAGCCATTCAAACTTTTTCAAAGAAGAGAGTATATTAGTCTTCGTAATCTCAGTTTATCTTTCTCCTCACCTCTGCCAGGTACCTAAAACAGAAAGAAAGAAAAGGAGGAAAAAGGAAACTGATTTGGTAAGTTACACTCTTGGTATTTTATAAAAAAATAATACTCTCCAGCTCAGTAGCTTAAAGCCCATCTTCTGTTCCCGTGGATAGATGATATTATAGTAGTAGGTACCAGATCCTTTAACAAAGTAGGACTGGTAGTGGCCCTGGATCTCATGAACACTAACTTTCAACAGTGCTTTACTAAAATGGAAAAAAAAATTGGAATATTTTCTCAAAATGGTGTAAATAACTTTTATCCAGTTTGTTTACTATTTCTGTAGGTTAGCGCTTTGTGAACATTTCATGAAATGGAACTGTATAATTCCTGGTTTTCCCATATGGCTTCTTAGCCTGGCATTCTTGAGGTTCATTCATGTTGTTGCAGTAGTGAGCCACACTGAGTACAGCAGAGTGACGCTGTCGACATCACTTTGTGGGGATTATGCGGAGGATGTTGTGCATGCTAGGCAGTTAGTCTGCCATCGAGTTCATAGCCCTAACCTTTTCCTTCATATTTTATTTACCAGTTAATAGACATTTGGGTTTGTTTATGGATGTATGCCATCATTTCTCTCATATATAACCTTGAAGGTATAATTTTGGGTCATATGATAACTTTAGTTAAAAACTTCAGAATCTGCTAATCTGTTTTCCAAGTGAGAAACGCTGCCTGCAGTGCTATGAGAGTTGCAATATCAGCACTTTTGCCACCTGATGTTACTGTGTATCTTTGTGTTGCAGCCATTATTTTGGATATGTAGTGGTATTGTCATTTTAATTTGCATTCCCCTTATGGCTAATGATGTTAAACATCTTAGTCATTTGCACTTCATTGATGGGATATTTATTTAGAATTTACTCATTATTAAGTTAGTTTGCCTTGTTAGATTATGACCTTAATATATTAGATGGATGCTGGGAAAGCTAGCACCGTACATGTAAAAGAATGAAACTGTGTTCTTCTCTCTCAGTCTGCATAAAAATCAGCTCCAGATGAATCAAAGACCTTAGCATTAGGCCTGAAACTGCTAGAGAAAAAAATTTGAGACAACACTTAAAGGTGTGGGCAATGTGTAAGGACTTTGTATAGAGAGAAAGATCAATAATTGACAGATAGGATCACAACTCAGTAAAAAATGGGCTGAGGAAATGAACATAGAGTTTTCAGAAGAAGAAATACAAATGAGCAGTAAATATTTTTAAATGTATCAACATCATTGGCCATCAGGAAAATATAAATTGTAACTACTCAGATCTTCCATATTACCCCAGTGAGAATGGCAGTCATGAAAACTGTGTTTGTGTGTGTTAAGCTACTGCTTTGTAGCTAATTTAAGAAATAGTCTTACAATAAAGTAAAATTGAGGAGCAGATGAAAACACTGCTCGATTTCATTAAACCCTTGAAATCAGCATCACCCTGACACTATAACCAGATAAGGACACAACATAAGGGAAACTGTAGATCAGTTAGTGTTCTTAGTTAACACAGACACAAAAATTCTCAGTACCAGGCCACAAGGGAAGAGGCCTTACATATCAAGTTCACTCAGTCCTGATGCAACTTGATGAACTGGGGTGAATGGGAAAGGAAGCTCCCCTTTTCTGAGGGAAAGGGAAGGGGAAAAGATAGAACTGGGAGGGGAGGAAGGATGGGGCTTCCACAAGGATGTAAAGTGAATTTTTAAAAAAAGAATAAAAAAGAAAAAAGAACTAGAAAAACACAAAGGATCTAAAATTAAAAGAACTATAGTATTGGTATGTCACAATAAAAATAGTTCAGGTAAGAGAATTCAGTATTAATTTATCCAGATGGCATTGTCTGTGTTACAGTGCTCCTCAGAATGTACTCATAAATTTTGGTTTTCCATGATGTATTAAATTATTACTTCACACAATGTCAATCTGACATCAGAAAGAAAAAATTCTCAATAAAACACTTACAAGCAGAATTTAAGAACTTAATTCTTTCACTCCAGGGATACACGGATGGTTTGACATATGCAAATCAATAAATGTAATAAAGCTCATAAATATGTTTGAGGACCCAGATTATATATCAATAGATATAGAAAAGGTCTTTGCCAAGGTCCAATATCCCTTCATGATAAAAGCCATGAAGAAACTGGAAATAGAAGAAACCTCAGCATAATAAATGGAATATTTGATAAACCAAGTACCGACATTATATTAAGTATAAAAAAACCTGAAAGTATTTCCTTTAAAATCAGGAACAAAAGAATCATGCCTATTCTTTACTCTTACTGTGTGTAGTATTCAAAATCTTAGCTAGAGTAGTATGACAAGGGAACAAAAATAAAAGAAATACAAATTTTAAAAAAGAAGGCAGATTATCCTGATTTACAAATGATCCTATACTCACAAAATCCTAAAAACTGTACCAAAAACCTATTTCATTTTATTCAATACAACAAAATAAAATTAACATAAAATAGCTTTTTATTACCAGTAATGAATTTGCTGAGGAAAGATAATCCCACTCACAACAGCTTTAAAAAAAAAAAAAAAAAAAAACTTATCAAGGAAGAAGATAGTAGAACATGAAAAAGATCTCCCATGTTCCTGGATTGACAGAGTCATTATTATGAAAATAAGACTGTATTACCAAAAACCATCTACAGATTCAATGCAGTTTTCTTTTTAAAAGGGTGATTTAAAAAAAAAAATACTGAAAGTTGAATAGAAACACAAAATACCCTGAAAGCCAGAGCAGTCCTAAGAAGAAAGAACAATGTTGAAGGTATCACAATACTTGTGCTCAAACTATGATACAGAGCCATAATAACAGCATGGTACTAATACAAAAATAGGTATGTTAGGTCAGTGGAATAGAGTTAAAGGACCCATAAATAAATATATAGAGATTTAGTATTTGACAAAGGCATCAAAAAACATAAAATGGAAAAATATAGCCTGTTAACAAATTGTACTGAGAAGACTGAATATTAACATCAGTATCTGTCACCATGTACAGAAATCAATTCAGGATGAATCAAAGACCTTAGTATAAAATCTGAAAGTATGAAGCTACTAGAAGAAATGATAGGCAAATGATTACAAGTATAGGCAGGACATTCTGACATGGACTAATAGTATAGGAAATAATCCCAAAAACTTAAAAATGGAGTTTCACAAAATTAAAAAGCTACTTCATAACAAAAGAAAACATCATAAGTGAAGAGACATTGGGTGGGGTGGATGCCAGCTATACATCTAATAGACACTGTAAATTACTTAAAAAGTTAAAAACCAAACAAGACATTTTCAAATTGTCAACTGAATTGAAAGTTTTCTCAAAAATAGAGGAGGAAAGAAGAAAAAGGCTAACACATGAAAAATGCTCAACACCCTCAGCCATTAGGGAAATACAGATTAAAAACTGTATTTTGAACTACGCTTTACCCCTGTCAGAATGGCTACCATTAAGTGAGCATATATGCAAAGAGGAGGAGCCCTTCTAGGCTACTCAGGAAAATATGAACTGCTACAGCTGCAATGGAAATCAGTATGGTAACTCCCATATGACTTCGTTTGGGTTTTATTGCTGTGAAGAGACACATTTAATTGGTGCTGGCTTACATTTTCAGAGGTTTAGTCCATTATCCTGGCAGGAAAACACCAGTGTGCAAGCAGACATGGTGCTGGAGAAGGAGCGGAGAGTTCTACATCTTGATCCATAGGCAGCAGAAGGAGACTATGTGCCACACTGGGCGTAGCTTGAGCATAGGAGACCGCAGAGCCTGCCCCCACAGTGACACGCTTTCTCCAACAAGGCCACACCTACTCCAACAAGGCCACACTTCAATAGTGCCACTCCCTGTGGGCCAAGCATTCAAATCAGGAGTCTGTGGGGGCCACACCTATTCAGCCCACCACACCATATAATTTAGCTGTGCCTGTTTTGGGTATATTCTCAAAAGAGTCTAATCTGGCATACCACAGAGATGCTTGTCCAGCCATGAGCATTGCAACACACTATTCACAATGCTCATGACACGAAGCCAGTTAGATGTTCATCAACAGATTAATGGTTAAAAAGTGCTACATATATACAATGAACTTGTATACCATTATAAAGAATGAAATTATGACATTTGCAGTAAGATGAATGGAACTGCCATACTAAATGAAATAAGCAAGTCAGAAACAAACATCACATGTTTTATGTAGCTTATAGATTTAAATTTTTGTATGTATAAATATATATGTACAACATGAAAATAGAAAATGAATTTTGAGAGTGAAGAGTTCGTCTCAGGAAGGAACAAGACAGTGTTATGTATGTGTCATAAAAGCAGAACCGGGAACTAGGTCAGTGGAAGACCAGCAAGAAGAACAGTAAGAGTGCCAACAAGAACAAATACCAGTTAAAGGTGTGGTGGTGGCCTTTAACAGGTCAGCCTGCTCTACATACCGAGGCCCTGTCTCAGACAAATAAACAAGAAAGACATATGTGTATTGATAATGTCACAATAAAACCATTTTCTTTTTTATAGTAACCCAGAAACTTAATTAGGAAAAAGGGGAAAAAAAACCCATAAAAATTATTATTTATGTCAATACTTAATTTGCTTTAATTTCTAAATAGCAATAAGTATAATTCATGAAAACAGAAGCCTTTTGGGGTCATGTTTAATTTTCAATAATGTAAACCATTCCTGGAAGTGAAAAATAAGCATTTTAGAACTTCTGCTTTCAATTTAACATGCAACTCAGAGTCACATAAGATAGCCATCATGTGTTTGTTGAGTTGCATTGTTTCTGATATTGATTATATCTACATTGTTAGCTAAAGGACCAACTATATTTTATTTCCATTATTTCTTGGGGGATCATATTTCTCTACCTGGAATAAATATCCAGTGAAGTCTTAAGGGGTTGGAGGATTTCTCATTTGCTAACCATGTTAGGGAAGCATTTACTTCACTGGCTGTGGTATAAATAGTGAAATCTCTTCATTCAGGTGGAAGAGCACAATGGCCACATCTTTAAGGCCACCCAGTATAGCATTCCTACGTACTGTGAATACTGTTCTTCCTTGATATGGATAATGGACAGAGCCTCTGTTTGCAAATGTAAGTATTAGACATCTTTGAGGGAAAAGTCTTCATTGTCTTCTCTTCATTCTCTGCACAGCTGCTACCACGTGCATGTCAGGTTCTGTAACCACTTAGAATACTAGTCAAGCCCTCTTGGACTATAACTGCATCACACTTTAGTGCTTGAGCAGCTGAACTTTGGAAAACAGTTTAACCCTCTTTTTAATGCAGTCTTTCAAATGAAATGCAGTTTTATGCCACCCTGAAACTTGCTCTGACAGGCTGTCATGACTGCCTGCAATGCCTTCAAGGAACCCTTCCTTTGGTTCCAGTGCAAATTTACCATCTTCTTTTTAATTGTGCTAAGCTCTATAGCAACCAAGGTCTTTTGATCCATACCTGTGTGCCCTTTACCTTACAAAACTGAACATTTTTTTATTCCACTTTCCAGTTATCAACATAAACTTGGCTAAATGTAGCGAGCAATAACCACACTACAGCTTGAATGCTATGTTCTCTTGAAATTTCCTCCACCAAATTAGTCCCTTAATTCTGCCTCACTGAAGATTTCAGAACCTGGATCAAAATAGATAAATTTTTTGACAGAAAATACAAATGGCCTTTAGTCCCAATTTACCATGGGGCCATTGTTTACACAAGGAACATATGAGCCTGGTCTCCAGTGTCCCCATTCTTATTAGCAATCCGGTTTTCTATCCTCTTTCCAGAATATCCCATCAAGATCTGCTTGCAACATTCTAGGACTAGGGCTTTTCTATACTGAAGTTCCATACTTTTCCACACTCCTCTCCCCAGACACTTTGAAAGGCTTCAAGTTTACTCAAGACAACAACCCCACTTCTTTTTTTAAATTTTTTATATTAATTACAGTTTATTTACTTTGTATCCTAGCTATAGCCCCTTCCCTCCCAATCCCACCCTTTCTCCCTCATCTCCTCCCCTTCTAGCTGACCCTAGCCTATCAGGTTTCATCAGGATTGGCTGCAATGTCCTCCTCTGTGGCCTAGCAAGGCTCCTCCTCCCTCAGGGGATGGGGAGGTCAAAGAGCCCACCACTGAGTTCATGTCAAAGACAGTCTCTGTTCCCTTTACTAGGGAAACCCAGTTTGAATGATGAGCTGCCATGGGCCATGTCTGAGCCGGGGTTCTAGGTTATATCAATGTATGGTCCTTGGTTGGAGAATCAGTCTCAGAAAAGACCCCTGTGTCCAGATATATTTGGTTCTTGTAGAGCTCCTGTCCTCTCCAGGTCTAACTAACTCCCCCTTCTTTCTTACAATTCTCTGCACTCTGCCTGAGGTTTGGTTATGAGTCTCAGCATTTGCTTTGATACACTGCTAGGCCCTCTATGGTAGGCTCCTGTCCTGTTTCTTGTTTTCTCCTACTTCCAATGTCCATCCTATTTGCCTTTCTGAATGAGGATTGATCATCCTACCCAGGGTCCTCCTTCTTGTTTAGCTTCTTATGTTTATCCTGTCTTATAGGTCTAGTATCCACTTAGGAGTGAGTATATATCTAGTGTGTCTTTCTGCTTCTGGGATACCTCACTCAGCATGATCTTTCCTAGATCCCATCATTTGCCTGCAAATTTCATGATTTCCTTGTTTTTTTTAATTGCCGAGTAGTATTCCATTGTGTAAATGTACCGCAGTTTCTGTATCCATTCCTCCATTGAGAGACATCTGGGTTGTTTCCAGGTTCTGGGTATTACTAATAAAGCTGCTACAAACATGGCTGAACAAATGTTCTTTTTGTATACTTGAGCCTCTTTTGGATATATGCCTAGGATTTGTGTAGCTGCATCTTGAGGAAGCACTATTCCTAGTTGTCTGAGGAAGTGCCAGATTTATTTCCAGAGTGGTTGTACAAGTTTACATTCCCACCAGCAGTGGAGGAGGGTTCCCCTTTCTCTACAATCTCTCCAGCATGTGTTGTCACTTGAGTTTTTACAACCCCACTTCTTTTTTTTTAAGATTTATTTATTCATTTATTTAGTTACTTAATGAATATGAATGTTCTATCTGCATGTGTCCCTGCACGCCAGAAGAGGGCATTAGATCACATAACAAATGATTGTGAGCCACCATGTGGGTGCTGGGAATTGAACTCAGGACCTCTAGAAGAGCAGACAGTGCTCTTAACTACTGAGCCATCTCTCCAGCCCACAACCCCACTTCTGATACCAGTTTTCTATGTTAATTTTGTGTTGGTGTAACCACAATGCCTGATAGAAACAATTTAAGGAAAAAAGAAAACCATTTGTTTTGGCTCATGTTTTCAGGGGCTTTAGTCCTTCATGCTAAATGGGCTGTGTGGTAGAGGCAGAACAAGAGGCAGTGATTGTGACCCACAGGAGGGGCAGAGTGTAGCCTTCAGATGCCCATAGTGACCTACCAGTGAGTTTCCACCTTGTAAGGATTCTACAACCTCCCCCAAATGGTGCCACTAGATGAGGAATAAACATTTAAATAGTGATTCAGTGGGGATTTCAGATTCAAATGTAAATGAAAGAAGAGCTTCATTTTCTTATCAGTGGTCTTAAAAATTAGGAGATTGATAATGGGAAGTAATCTGAAATGTACCTGATTGATCTGAAATGTACCTGATTCAGATTCTATGGCTTGAGGCTAAGCAGTGGTTCTCAATCCTAATGCCCATAGTTACCATTCTTAATTGGGATTTCTGGAATTGTAAGAAGTTTTACAACCTTGCAGAACATACACACTAACTTGTGAATCAGACTATAAAGATATAACCTGCTGGGACTGTGAGGTGGGGGACATGAGTGCAGTAGCAGAACAGGCACCTAGAAAGCATAGAAAGCTTGTTCATTCACACTGTCTAAAATGTATTTATGACCTTAGAGTAGATTCAGCTCCCAAGAAACAAACTGTGAGCTTGCTAAGTTGCCATTGATTTGCAGACTAAAATTTCTGTATCCTTAACCTGTTTTCCAGTGTGTAAGTATGCTTGCCATAAGAAGTGCTGTCTGAAAACCACAGCCAAGTGCTCTAAGAAGGTAAGGCACTACCGCTCCTCAGTGCTAGACAGTGGATTTACAGGTCTTTTTTGCCAAATGGAAAGAGGTTGGGGCTTTTTTGGTAGCTTTTATAATACAGTGGTCTTCAAATTTCATGACTCCAGGTCTTTCTGTCTTCACCTCCTAAGAACTGGGACTACAAGTGTATACCACCATGCTCAGTTTATTAAATATAAACATATATACACATATATATATGTATATATATATACACATATATATATATGTATATATATATGTGTGTGTGTGTGTGTGTGTGTGTGTGTGTATGTATATATATATATAATGAAAATCCAGGAAGAAATGAGGAAAAACAAAACAAAGCAGATACAACATTTTAGGAGATACTGAACAGCACATCACATAAGAGTGTAAAATATTTAAGCCTAGCATGGTAGCATACATCTTTAACACAACAGTTAGGAGGCTGAGACAGGCAGACTGTGCATTAGAGGCCAGCCTACTTTATCCAGCAAGTTCTAGGACAGCCAGGGCTACAAATTAATAAACAAAAATCCTAAAGCACATAAAATAGGATAATAAAAGAAAACAACAGTATAGTACTCCAAACAGAAGCAGTTTCTTACCTAAAGAAGCAGTGAAGTAAATCACAATTTCTGAACAGAAATAATGGAAGCCAGTAGATACTAGTGAGGTATCTTAAGTGTTCCAAAAGAGACAACTGAAGTTTTTCATTATACTCAGTGAAAATGTTAGCCTGTCAATGATGGAATGCCTTCCTAATGTGTGCCAAACCCTGGATATTGTCATTTGTTACTGAGGGTAAAAAGTGAAAGTGTTGAGAAGACATTTTAAGACAGATAAAAACATAGAATGCCCAGCAGAACCGTACTAAGTGATTACAATACAAATGGAAAATTATTTTAAATATTTTTAACTAATGATAAAACTGTGACATAGAGAACATTGCAAGGCACATTTAAAGCTGTATTTGAGGAAAATTTATAGCTTTGAATCCAAACATTAAAAGTATAGCTAGAAGTGACTAAACCTCCATCCCATGGAGGAAAGTGCAAAAGCTCAGCAAATTTCACTCAAAAGGAGAAGAAATAGTAATAAAGAGAAACACAAAAGCTGTCTGTTCAATATAAAAACCTACAAAACAAATAAAAACAAAATACTTACAGAACAAAATTTTGGCTTCTAGAAAAGACTGAAATAGATAAACTTTAGCAAAATGCTGGAAAAAAGTAATTATTAAAAAGTAGTTTGTACATTTCCTCATTGTTTGGGGGGGTGCTTGTTTTACATGCTATTACACACATGTGGAAGTCAGAGAACAATTTGCATGAGTCAGTTCTTTTTTTTTTTTTTTCTACTGTGTCAGTCCCAGGAATTTAACTCAGGTCCTTGGACTTAGCAGCAAGCACCTTTACTTACTGTGCCCTCTTGCAACCCACAGGAATTTTTAGAATTTGGGGACATGTTTGTTTTAGATTACCGGGTTTCAAACTGGCTGCATGTCAAGTTATTGTTTAGTAGCCTCAACTATTTTCTAGTTTTTCTTTCAATTTTCAACTATTAACTTTTGATGTTGTAGGAAAAGCCTTAATAAATTAAAAGATGATAAGTGTATGATTCGTGCATCATATTAATAGCAAAACTTTGGTTAATGTGTATTTTTCTCGAATCATTGTAGAAATCATTATGACATTTTTTCTTTAATAAGTTATTATTTGTTCCATACCAGGTGGTACCATGCCATATATATTTAGTAACTGAGTAGAATATAGTAGTTTATTGCAAATGTTTATCCAAGTTGATGTGGTGACAGTACTAATATTTAATATGCATCATTTAAACATTCAAAATATTCTACCTCAGACCTAGAAATAGAATTAGCGGTACTAATTTAGATCCTTCAAATTAAATGTGGAATTCTCTGAGAATTAAGTGTTAATACTCAAAATGTAAATATGCACAATAACAGAAAACTGACTGGTCTTGGCTGTTTAAAATTCTCCAGTCAAGTGCTGGGGATCAAACATAGGGCCTCATGCAAGCAAGGCCAGTACTGAGCTGCAGGCCCAGCCCAGTGTTTTCTGTTTGGTCTCGTGTGTTTCTATAATTAACAGTAGATCTACCATTTTACTTATTTCCACCTGCTGATGTAGTGTCTTGGCATTAATTTCAGAGGAAATGCTCTCTTTTAATTTTGTCTCCCTGGTGCCTACAGCATAGTGGCAAATCACTTAAGACTAAAAAGCAAAACCACGATTAATTTACGGCTTTGAGTATCAGTCTCAACAGTGCGTATACTTCTGTCTATGCTGGCTAGCCACTGAAAATGTCTGAGGCTAGGAAGGCAGGTTACAGGTATAGGATACATTAAAGGAGAAGAAGATTTAAATGAGCTGGAACACAGGTGGAAGGAGAGTGATGAGATTTAACTGAGAAGAGAAAATGTAGAGGGTAGGCTGAGGGACTAAAAGCTTGCCTGCTGATTGGGGTGAAGGTCAAAGGTGATAATGGGATAGGGAAGGCACAGAAAGGAGGAGGAAAGAAAGAGTTATAGAAACAGTTCCTGTTTTAAAGATCTAGGAGTTGACATTTGTGTGTGTGTGTGAATTACTTAAATTTTCTCAATGATAACCTGTTCTGTTGCAGATACTTCAACTAATTAATCATGTATGGTATTAGATACACCACTAAAGGCAGTGAAGGAGCCCTAGTGCTAATCATGGGTCAGTCTGTGTGCCTGTGCTTAGGAAATGGTTGCAAGTAAGCTTTTTATGAAGTTATAGCCTTGAAGTGGCAAAGGATTTTTGTGTTTCAGAAACTACTGACAAGTTAATTCATTTCAAAAAAAAAAATCAGTGGATTTTTCCCAAGTACATGATAGATGTTCCAAGTGTTTTTATATACAAAATCAAACCCCCTTCTCCACACCCAACCTCACTGTTTGCTGGAATTGACTCTTGATAGGAAGGAAAGTAGCAGCCCATTGCCACTGCCTGTAGTCTTGTTTTTCTGTGTGGATTCCCAGTAGAAGATGGTTGAAACTATTATGTCATCAATTTATATTTTTTAAACCACAGTTCTTTTTCATTCCAATTCCTAGGGTTATCTGCATAAAATTGAGAAATAAAAAGTAATTCCTCTTAAGAATTGGCTAAGCATGTTCTGTAGTGTTTGAACACATTTAGAAACAAAATTTATCTTTCATTTAGTATGATCCAGAGCTGTCATCGCGGCAATTTGGGGTTGAACTGTCCCGTTTGACTAGTGAAGACCGAGCTGTTCCTTTAGTGGTAGAAAAGCTCATAAACTACATTGAAATGCATGGACTTTATACCGAAGGTATTTATCGAAAGTCTGGTTCAACTAATAAAATCAAGGAGCTTCGACAAGGTCTAGATACAGGTAAGATAGTGTGCCCCCAAATCAAGATGTAATACTTTTAAAATTCACTTCAGTTTTATTATATATTGTTTCTCTAAACATAGGGCCAGACCTTCTTTGTGATACTTCTTTGCTATTTTTGAGCCTTTGATTGTATTTAGTTAATTCATCAAACATGTATTGACAGCTTAAATCGTACAAGGTATTGTTAAGTACTTAAAAAATGATCTCAATTTTTTAACAGCCTAATTAGATCCTGATATTTGTAATTTATGAAGAGGAAAATGTATGTTCAAGGAATTTACTAGAATTAAAGATTTTTTAGAAACCATCTTGTGAACTCAGGGACATCATTTATCTGCAGTTACAGATAAGGAACCAGGCTGATAGAACAGCTTATCTAACTGCTTATCACCAACCATAATTTAAAGTGCTGCCTGTTCATTTTTACTGTTCTGACTACAGGTGTTATTCTTTGCAGTAGCTTTTACTGCCTGCTTGTCTACATTGAGGACTTAATTGTTTAAACTAATAGTGAGTTGAACACTTAGTGTAAAGCTTAGTCCCAGAGTATCTACAGGGCTCGCCTTTGGTTTATCATTGTTAGAAGAAAATAGTTCTTTTTAAACCAAATTTAGATACAAAGGTTGCCTTTATGTGACTAAGAATCACTGTGGTTTTTCTCAGGAACTAATCAGTGAGAAATGAATTAGTATAAGAATAATAGGAAATGCCTGGTAAACTTACTAGGCATTAAATTCTGACTGACAAATAAGGCTGCTACAAACATGGTTGAGCAAATGTCCTTATTGTGTACTTGAGCCTCTTTTGGGTATATGCCTACGAGTGGTATAGCGGCATCTTGAGGAAGCGCTATTCCTAGTTGTCTGAGGAAGTGCTAGATTGCTTTCCAGAGTGGTTGTACAAGTTTACATTCCCACCAGCAGTGGAGGAGGGTTCCCCTTTCTCCACAACCTCTCCAGCATGTGTTGTCACTTGAGTTTTTGATCTTAGCCATTCTGATGGGTGTAAGGTGAAATCTCAGGGTCGTTTTGATTTGCATTTTCCTTATGACTAAGGACGTTGAACATTTCTTTAAGTGTTTCTCTGCCATTCGATATTCCTCTATTGAGAATTCTCTGTTTAGCTCAGTACTCCATTTTTTAATTGGATTACTTGATTTATTGCTCTTTAACTTCTTGAGTTCTTTATATATATTGGATATTAGTCCTTTGTCAGATATAGGGTTGGTGAAGATCCTTTCCCAATCTGTAGGCTGTCGTTTTGTTCTGACAACAGTGTCCTTTGCTTTATAGAAGTTTTCAATTTCATGAGGTCCCATTTATTGATTGTTGCTCTTAGACCCTGTGCTGTTGGTGTTCTGTTCAGGAAGTTGTCTCCTGTGCCAATGAGTTCAAGGCTCTTCCCCACTTTTTCTTCTAAGCGGTTTAGTGTGTCTGGTTTTATGTTGAGGTCTTTGATCCACTTGGACTTTAGTTTTGTGCAGGGTGATAAGTATGGATCTATGTGCATTTTTCTACATGTAGACATCCAGTTAGATGAGCACCATTTGTTGAAGAACCAATGACCAGGCATGGAGGTAACCTAAGACCCCTGCACAGATGTAGCCCATGGCAGTTCAGTATCCAAGTGGGTTCCATTGTAATAGGAACAGGGACTGCCTCTGACATGAACTGATTGGCCTGCTCTTTAATTTCCTCCCCCTGAGGGGGAAGCAGCATTTCCAGGCCACAGAAGAAGACAGTGCAGCCACTCCTGATGAGACTTAATTGACTAGGATCAGAAGGAAGGAAAAGAAGACCTCCCCTATTAGTGGACTTGGGGAGGGGCATGCATGCAGAGGGTGGTGGAAGGGAGGGATTGGGATGGAAGGAGAGAGGGAACCACAGAGGGGATACAAAGTGAATAAAGTGTAATTAATAAAGAATTAAAAAAAAATAGAAAAAAAATTTTGACTGACAGAACTTGGATCACTCTAGTTTCTGGGCACTTTTCAGGTTTGAATTGCTTTTGAACTGTGCAACAGCCCAAATGTTAACCGTTCATTCTATATCCTCCTGTCTATCCTTAAGAAATTTATAAGCAAAATAGGATGAAGATGTTTCTGTCACATTTCCCTGCTGTCTTATGTCTAAGATTGACTTAAAGTCACCCTCCCTTTTAGAGCTTTCCACTTAGACTTCTAAAGCATTGGTTCTCAAGAGTGCGAAGAGTGAGGCATATGGACCAAGACGGTACAAAAACCAAAAGCAGATAGAAACTTCTGTAGCAGTTTGATTCTTCATGGAAGTGTGAGCTTTTACATTTGCATTCAGAAAAGATTTAGAAAACATGGACACAAAAATCTGTTCCTGCATGGTTAGAAGTGGCAATTCTAAGCTTGGAACCAGACTGGAAAATATAGGTTTGTTTAATTAAAAAACATGAAGGCTTCTTTTTGTAGGTTTACTTTTGAAGTACACTGTTTAAATCTTTTTTGCATGTTTTTTGGCTGTTATTTAAATAGATGCTGAAAGTGTAAACCTAGATGACTATAACATACATGTCATCGCAAGTGTATTCAAACAATGGCTTCGTGATTTGCCCAATCCACTCATGACTTTTGAACTCTATGAGGAATTTCTTCGAGCTATGGGTAAGTACAAACTTACTGGGTTTAAAGGAAAGGCCTACTCTTGATTAAGTAACGTCAGCTATTGTATTCATTATTAAGCCCTCCTATAGTAGCTTAGCTTTTATAGGTCCTAAATTAAGCCTCTGACAGTCAATACAAAACTTCCAGTGTACTGTTCCTATTCAAATGTTGACTTCTTGTAGACTCTTCTAAAAGTTTCTTAGTAAGCCACTTTGTTGCTTCTCACAGTAACTAAAAAATGTAGGTGTTATAAAAAGAGTAAAATATCAAATAGAAGATTTTAGGGTGGGTTAACATTCGGTCAGTTGTAAGTCTAAGAAGAACTGTGTCTAAAGGTAGCTCCCTGTCTGTTTATACCAGCTGGGCTCTGTGCTTTATGTAGTATGTGGTATATTGGTAAAAGTATGCCCAGAGGTATTTAGACCTGAGGATTAATAATTACATCAAACAGTTGGTTAATTTTAATGAGACACCAGTCTGTCATACAATGTCTGAAGTGCTAGGATACCGGTGTTCTTGCTATCCTCAAGGGCTTATCAACTAAACTTTGGGAATTCAAATGTAGGGAGCTATATAGCTGAGAACCATGGTTCTGTCTCCCTAAGCTGGAGCCATCATTCTCTACTGTAGAGCTTTCATCCAGGAGGAAGATACAGCATGTAACAGGGATATTCAGTGTAACTTGCTACTTTTGCCTTTTTTTTTTTTTTTTAGGCCTTCAGGAGAGAAAGGAGACAATCCGTGGTGTGTACTCTGTAATTGATCAGCTTTCCCGAACTCATCTCAATACACTGGAGCGCCTTATCTTTCATCTAGTTAGGTAACTTACTCAAGACAAGCTCTCACTATATATCTTTGTCTATCTGGGAACTCACTGTATAGATCAGGCTGGCCTTGAACTCACAGATATCTTCCTGCCTCTACCTCTCAAGTACCAGGATTAAAGACATACATCACCATGCCTGGTCTTTTGGGGGGGGGGGAAGGGAGTTAAATAAAGAACTCATTTAAATAAAGAACTTGAATATATAAAGTCAGTGTCTTGCCTGGGAATGTAATTCAGCAAAAAGAATGCTTACTTAGCATGAACAGAGCCCTTGGTTTGTTCCTTACCAATGCTTAAAAAGGACAACCCCCAGCAATGAAACACCTTTCTTCCTATCTAATCTTTGTGCTTTTAAATAGGGGTTTAAATCAGAAATCTGCTAAGTTGAGTGACTGTTGTTGTCATGTAGCAGTTTCCACTTCATGGTGGCACCAAGTAACTTAGCCATTTTAATCCCTGAACTACAAGAGTTTGTATCTGGGGATATAACTTACTTTGGGGAAGCTGGGTTCAGATTATACTCAGGAATTGCTTGACTAGAGGCTTCAGGAGTAGATATATTTCCCTGTGTATAAACATTAGAAGTGGTTGGAAATACAGCCCTCTTTCTGGTCAGATGTATGTTATGTTTGGAAATGCCTTAAAACTTCTAGGGGCTGGAGAGATGGTTCAGAGGTAAATAGCATTGGCTGCTCTTCCAGAGAACCTGAGTTCAATTTCCAGCACCACATGGCAGCTCACAACTGTCTGTAACAGGGGATCTGACACAGTCACATAGACATACATGCAGGGAAAAAAAGCACATAAAATAAAATCATTTTTTTTTTAAATTAAGAAAAAAATCCAATACAACTTCTGCATTCTGAAGACATGTTGATGATACTGGGTTTAAGCAGCAGGTCACAGACTTCCCTTGATATTCTGTATGTTGACCTATGACCCAGACTGTTTCAGGGAGTAGTAGAAGTCCATTTTCTAGGTAAAGGGATAGCTTTGGGGAAGTTTACAATGTCTTCTTAAACTTAAGTGGGAATCTGTCCAGTACTATGGGGTTGGTGGCATATTATCTTTTTTCCATTTCTTCACACTCTAGTATGTTACTTTTATCCATAACCCTTTCACTTGTATTGGTTTTGCTTTATTCCTTAGGATTGCTCTACAGGAAGACACTAATCGGATGTCTGCTAATGCTTTGGCTATTGTGTTTGCACCTTGCATTCTCCGTTGCCCTGACACTACTGACCCACTACAAAGTGTACAAGACATCAGTAAGACTACCACGTAAGGCCAGCCATCTTCACCTCTACTGGACCTTAGTTGGTGTAGTCCACTTTTTCCAAGTATCAAACACAGTGAATGATTTCATAAGTTCCTGTACCTCTAAGCAGATTCTTGGTTATCATGCTAAGGCTTGCTTCAACTTAAGACTGCTTTAGAATTTTTAAATGGATTTCTGTTTTTTCAAGGTATTTTATATATATATATATATATATATATACACACACACACACACACATCTCCAGAGTTACCTGATTTCAATCAATTGATCTGGGTGTATTTTCAGTTGGTTTCTAAAATGCAGAGTTGTCAACCACTGTTGTGAATCTACTTTTCTCTGAGGTCATAAAATAAAGGATGCTTCCTTCATCCTTAAACTGTCAAAGACACTTAGTTAAAACGTCCGTAGAGATATAACACTTCATCTGATTTACTTCTGCTTGTAACAGTTTTTTCTTCCTGTTTCAGCTGTGTGGAGCTGATAGTTGTAGAACAAATGAATAAATATAAGGCTCGTCTGAAAGATATCAGTAGCCTAGAATTTGCTGAAAATAAAGCAAAGACCAGACTATCACTGATTCGCAGATCAATGGTAAGATTGAAAACATGGAGCCACTGTGAGGGGGGGAGAGGGCCTCTTGTTCTTGTTCTCTTTTGTAAGTATGTGTTTGTGACATATACAGATCGTGCACAGAAGAAACTTTTCTAAAGGAACACAGGTGCTATGAATATGTAATGATCTTTAAGTTACTGTAGCTGTGTGTATAGAGTATATGTAATTAAATGTGCAGAATTTTTAAAATGTTTTGAATAAAAAATTGGTGGCATATAATCTTCCTTGCATATAATCCTTAACTGTCCATGCCATGAAAACTTAACTTTATCGTAATGTTTCTCCACATCCTTCTGCTATCTTTTCCTGTTCTCAACCACATCATTTTTGGTGGCCTTTCCAATATTCCTGATAGTAGAGAACTTAATCATTTGGAATTGAATATGAACTAAAGTGCTTGATTCATACAGAAGCAGAATTCCATTTGTGAGTCTTCTAAGGTCAAATAAAGATTTATCTAGGGATTTATTGTTTTGTTTTGAGATGAGCCTACCACATGATAATTTCTTCATTTGCTGACTTTTATATTTAGTGTCTTCTGTTACAACTAGTGGCCAGTGATTATGTAGATAACTCCAGTTACTGTTAACTAAGAATCAATAGTATCTGTGTTCTGGTAAACAACTGATGCATTCAAGTTTAACTTTTACTGACTTGTTACTCCTCCTTTCAACTGTAAGATAACATCATAGCAGCAGGCACTTCCTTCAGAACCCCAGCAAATCTCTCAAACAGCAGCTTCCAAGTTTTCATTCTCATATTTTCTTGGGACCCAGCAGTGCTTCTTGAACCATGTCATTATAGTCTGTTGAAATAACTCTGCTTCTTCCTTTCCTATTTTAAGCTTCCTAGCACAGTACAAATGTTCAACAGAGGTCTGTTGGTAGGGTTAGTAGATGATCTCTAAAAGCAAATATAAGCATAGCCTTTTCCAGACATTATATGAAGCTCACTGACTTCGGATTCCCATCACTATGATAAAACACCATGACCATAAGCAACTTAGTGGGGGAGGGGTTTATTTCGGCTTAGAGTTTGTGGTCCTGTCATTCTAAGAAGTCAGGGGAGAAACCTGAAGGCAGAAATGGAAGCAGAGACTGTGAGAGAAGTGCTGTTATGGCTCGCCCCGTGTGGCTTGTTCAGTCTGCTTTCTTAGACCACCCAGGATCACCTGCACAGGAGTGACACTGGCCACAATGAGCTGGGCCCGCCCATATAACCATCAGTCCAAAAAATGCACCACAGGCTTGCCCACAGACCAATATGATGAAGGCATTTTTCTCAATAGAGGTTTTGTCTTTGAAAACAACATAGCTTGTTTCAAGTTGACATAAAACTAGCCAGCACACTCATCATAGAATACTATCTAAATCTCTTCCCAAGGCCTTAAAAATGGAAATTCTTTCTAAAAGTAAAATATGGGCCCAAGGCATTATATCAGTTGGTAGAGTTCTTGTCCTTAAGACAAGGTTTATCCCTGACACTGCAAACAAACACAAATCTTTTCTATATTAAGAATTTTAGCTTAGTATTCAGAGGTTTAATTTTTCAGTACCCACCTAGGAAGGAAAGTAAGAGCTTCTTAACTGCAAAACTTTATTTCAAAGCAAATGGAAAAGCTGTGCATTCCCTCCTCAGTACTGAAGAAAACGACTGTATTCATTCCACTGAAAGATTTAGCCTTCTCTTTTAATGGGGCAATGACATGTGCGTTCTAACCTTCTGCTTTCCTTTTCATGTCCTTCCTAATCCAGAAACCTGTACTAATTGCAGTTAGATTTATGAGCATTACCCGCAGTTCAGTCTCGGTATGTATTAATATTGCACTGTATCACAGTCACTTCACATCATTGTGTCTCATTCATCCAGGAACTGTTCTGCTCTGTCAGTCATTCATGCCTGTCTGCCTCACATGTTCGAACCTTGTCAGGGCCTCCTTTTTGATCAGCCTTCACTTGCCTTTTTCTTAACCTTTCTTTAGGTCATTCCCTTTCCTTTCTCTGTGTTATGCAGGTGAACAATGTTCATTTGAAGTATTGTCAGATAATCCTCCTTTGAGTTTCTATTTTGGTTGAATCTTTAAAAGTGGAGGTCATAGATACTAAGGTATCGAGTTCATTCTGCTGTATGAGCTACATTCCTAGAAAATTCACTTTATTACTTGAAATACCTGTTAAGTTTTTTAGTATCTATCATGAGTAATGCTTATGTATCTGTTTATAACTGATTGGTGTTATCTTCCCAGATGTAGAAATTTGGCTGTTAGCTACTTAAGTGTTTGTCAGACAGGATTTTGTTGTTGTTGCCTCTTTTTAAACAGTATCTGTGCAAAGGAGAAATAGAAAAGTTGAAAGCTAAAACACCAAGCTATGTGGAAACTAATTTCAGAATATGTATTTTTGTGTACTTGTTGATTTTTAAATACAGGTATCATTCACTAGTAACTATGTAATAATTGTCAATTCTACCCTATCAAGCTTCCCTTTCCCATAGAGTATCAACGTAACAGCATGTCACTATTCCATTTCTTTCAAATGCTTCTGTCTCATTTAATATAAAGTACACTTACATTAAAATTTCAGTCATAGGCTTGATATCCAGTATTTGTCTCACTTCCTTATAGACTAGACCTTTATCTGGGGAATGGTAGGATAAACTTCCTTACAGGGCAGCCAGACCTTTATCTGGAGAAAAAAATTGTAGGGTACAAAATTCTACATGCTGTTCCATTGTTGGCCAGTTTTCTTTGACTGTTTTACACTGCTGTTCTGTCAATAGTCTCACTGACAGTTTACTCTCCTGACAGTCAGATCAGACCTGCCATCTCTGTACATCGCCAGGACTGTTTAAGGCAGTGGCTCTTCCTAACGCTGCCACCTTCTAACACAGTTCCTCATGTTGGGGTGTCCCCTAGCTATAAAGTAATTTCATTTCTACTTTAGAACTGTAATTTTGCTACTGTTATAAATAATGATGTAAATATTTTTGGAAATAGAGGGTTGTCAAAGGGGTCAGAACCTACAAGTTGAGAACCACTGGTTTAAGATGAGACAGCATTTTCTGTCTAAATTCTGATTGAAGGTATTGACATGGTGTGGGAAGCTGTCAAACTGTCAGGGCAGTTACAAATAAGAGTTTTCACTGACAAAAAAACAAAAGTCACTTCAGAAAATAAGTCCTTTCAAATGTGGTCAGAGTCTGCACAGCGCACTCATATGCGCTGCCAGTTGTTGCACTGTCAGGAGATGAGAGCAGCAGAGTCACTCCGCTAGTCAGGTAGTCGCACAGATACTGTCTACTCAGATAGCCCTCAGCACATTGCAGGGGGGGGGCTTTGTGTCCTTATCCTTTTATCATACACAAATAAAACCAGTGAACTTGACTCTTAAGGGTTAATAATTATAGTACTTCACTGATGGCATGAAACTAATTTTTACCTGTGAATACATGATAGTAAAGACTATGAAGACTAGTACAGTTTTGTATCATTACCTTGATCATGTAGAGGTGTCAACACTGTTTTCATCCACTGTTGCTTTTATCTAAATGTAAATGTTAGTAAGTGGGAAGGACAGAGAGAGTCTTAGCATTATTATAAAAGCAGTGTCTGCATTGTAGATCCCTTGGGAACGCCTCCACACCCCTACTGAAAACCTGTGAAGTGTATTCAGAACCAGTACAGCAAGGCTGGGGACATAGCTTGGTGGTAGCATCCTTTCATGCTTGAGGCCCTAGGTTCAGTTCTCAGGTGAGGGGTTGGGCAGGGGAAAAATAACTATGGCTGGTTTACTACACTACATAGAAAGTCTGAAGATATGTGCAAGCATATAGTGGCTCCATTTAAAGTCTTTACTAACTTTTATTATGGGATGAACTATAGTTACAGGTGTGGGATATAACTTTTGAATCAGCCTCAGTACCTGTGTCCATAGATAGCTCATATCTCAATATCATACAAAGCATGGACTTAGGCAGGACTGCCATGCAAGGCTGGTAGGAAAACATTGAATAAATGACCTTTCCTGTCTAAGAAAGAAGATCCCTCAGATACAGTCTTGAGAATTCAGTTCCTTCCTGTTTTTGTGGCTTAATGAATGACAACAGTGATCTTTTACATTCCCTATTTGGGGCAGATTTTCTGTTAGGATTCTAAGGTTTGTGCTCCAGCTACTTATGTCTACTATCTGGAACTGCACAGTTCTTACTCTTTATATTTTTAACCCACAAACAAACCCCAGTTACATGTACTTTCTTTGAGTCATCAGAAAGTATTATAACTCCTCACGAGGGAACTGTCATCCTACATACTCAAAGTCCATATTTCATTATCATTCTTCAATTATGTAGGCTTATGTTGATTGACAATACTGAGTTTGTGTCTAATCTGTTATGTCTTGCTATTTCTTTTTTTTTTTTAATGAAGTTTAGTAGACTCTCTTCATAGGCCACAATCATTTTAGCGCTGTAGTATATTTTCTATACATCTTCACTGTTACCTACTTAAATCTTAAGAAAAAAATGGACGTCTTAGGTAAACTGGGAAAACTTTGAAAAAAAAGTATTTTCACTTAGAATCCTTCACTTTAAAACATTTGGATCCCAGTGTTTTTCTTAGTTTTGGAAACCAACTATGGGCTAGCCTTGTAGCATTCTAACCCAGATCTATGAAACAGAGCTCTATTTTCTGATTCCCCCCCCCTGCCCCCCCGCATAGATCAGGCTGGCTTTGAACCTGAGTCCTCCTTTCTCAGGGTTCCCAGTGCAATAGAACTATAAGTATTGTCAATATAAGATGGTCAAAATCAAAACATGTTACCTAAAAGCAGACCAGGCATATAAAGACTACTGTAGCAAATGCTTCCTTTGTTTTTTTTGTTGTTGTTGTTGTTGTTGTTGTTTGCCACCAAAATTTGTATCCTGAGCACAGTGCTGTTTCTGAGCCGTATATGAATGAAGTCGTCTAATATGTATTTTTTACA